AGGGTGGGAAATGGATGAGGAGGAAAATTCAGGGGAAACTTCAAGAGTTAGCATTGACTGGACTTTGTGGCTGAACACAGATGGCAGGGGTGGAGGTAGAGGTGGGTTCGAGGGAAGGGGCGTGTGAGGGAGATGGTGGATTTAGGATGGCCCTCTTTTGGGATTGGGTAGCCTGGAATGAGGGGTTGGAGTGCGGGATGTCATTCTCCAGATCAGGAACACGGAAGAGGAACAGAAAAGGCATTGATCCTTGCAGCTGGGCTGTTTTCGGTCGAACAGACAACCAGGAACGGGGTGTGGAAGGCAGGGCCATGGGGCTACTAGTGGGAGATGTGGGCAGAGGAAAGACCCAGCTCAGCTTTTTCACACAAGTGACGTTGAGCAAATCACCACTGTCCCGGAGCCCAGATTCCTGCCTCTGAATAAGGCAGGATAATGCTTCTTCCTTGAGATCTTGCTCCCTGGCCAAGCTGGCTGCCAGGACATCAGCCAAGACAGAAAGGCATCCTGAGGCCAGGAGAGGATCTAAGGAGGGGCCTCGACATGGTCATGGACACCATGAGCAGGGGGTGCTGGCTTGTGGTCAGTCTGCAAGGAGGGAAGGGGCTCAGCATGGACTTCCCAATATTGTCTTGGCCAGCCATGGTGCTGGGACATGTTGGAAAGATGCTGGGACATATGGTGTCATGACAACATGCGTGCAGAAACATGACCACACAGGAACATGAGTGTGACCACACATCTGAATGAACGTGTACTTCCGGGACACCCCCTCCTTTTCCACGACTCGGGGGTGGGAGAGCGCGTTGTTTTTCCCAGACTCCAGTGTCTGACATCTGCACAAAGGGAGCCCTCTGAGAGGGACAGAGGGGCCGGGCATCCCTCATGCGACAAGCGCTAACACCTCACTGCTCTCCCCATGCACCGATGGAGCAGACCAAATGCCAGACCCGGAGACCTCCTTGAGACTTTTCGGAGTGACTATGAGCACGGGGCCATCCACATGGGAGATGGGAACGTGGGCCCTGCAAGCGGGGAAATATCTTCTGTTTAAACATCAGCCCTTGGGTTTAGACATATGAGCGTGGGCCTACTGACTCATAATGCAGTGTTCTTGCCTATTGAGCACCTTGGATTCTTTGGAAATAAAAGACTCTGGACCTTTATTCTTTATAGGATGGCAGGCATTTGTTGTACATCAATTGAACTGCATTTTTTTTTTTTTTTTGGCAGCCCTCGCATGGGTCCCAAACAGAACTTGTTTGCAAAACGGTCCGCACAGTGTCAGCCTGGCTCCACAGAGAGAGTGGGCCCTTCAGAATTTGTGAGTCCTGCTTCTGACTCCTGGCACCACAGAGACTCCCCCCGGAGTCGAGAGTGTGTCTATCTGTGATTCCCAGTAAGTTCTTCACATCCTAAAGCAACCGGGTAGACAACGCCCCCCCTCCCCACTACCACACAGGCCCGGTGTGTGGATGGGGTTATCAGTTCTGTGAAGGAGAAGATCGTTGAACGGAGGGCGTCCACCCATCTGGAAAGCGATGGTGAGTACTTCATCACCCATCTGAGATACGGGCCCCACAGGTGAGATGCTTTGGGTGTGAGACTGCAACTCCTTGCTCGTGCTGGGGAAGGGGGCGCTGGCAACATGGGGGTGCAGCATAGTATCTCTCACATTTCCAGCAAGAGCCACCATTCATTGAGTTCCAACTCAGTACGAGGCATTTTAAGTAATTTTGACTCATAAACTCACCACCATCCCGCTGGGTTGATGTAACTGCCCATAACTTTCCACGAGAACATGCTGAATTGGCCCAAAGCCGTGACGTCTAAGCTCATGGAGCAGTGGGATTTGACCTCAGGCTGTATGCTTCAGGAGCCATGTTCAGGGGGATAGTCAGCGGAGAGCCCCGAGAGCCTGCACTGACCAGGAGACAGGGAGAGCTGGTTCTGACTTTGGCAACCCCAGCTCAGCTCTGCGACCTCTGATAAGTTCCTGGGCCAGTCTGCCTGGCTTTCTCCCTATCTTGTCTACATCACAGGGTTTTTACAGGAATGAAATGTGTGGGAAAGTGATGGAAAATGGACAGGGCTTCTCACATATGAGCCTCACAGCCCTGTGGGGTGATCAGAGCAATGACCTACCATCCTTCTTCTACACCGGAGAGAGCTGAAGCTCAGAGAGGTCCCGGGGTCTACCTGAGGCTCATGAGCATAGGTCCTATCACCTCGAGTCTGGCACTTTCTCCCCTCTTCCTCCTGCTCTTGGTTTTTGTTTTTTTTTTTTCCTGCTCTTGGTTTGTACTAGGGTCTTGCCTCCCTAATTTGGGGTGTCCCCACCTTCTCTGGCATTGCTACTTTATTGTCCCCTCTACCCCACCCTCCCATAGCCTGGGTCCCATCCCTTAAGCCTGGCTCTCAGCGGTCTGGTCACTAGTCCCTATCAAGGGCTGTGCTGGCCCTGCCTGAGGCGTCTTCTTTCCTGGAGCAATTTCGTATGTCAAAGGGTATGGAAATTTCCAGACTCTTCAAGGCCTGAAATAGTTATTCTCAATCCTGGCTGCATGTCAGAATCTCCTGGGAGCTCTTAAAATATTCTGATGCACAGGCCCCACACTCAGACATTCTGATTTCATGGCTCTGGGGTGGGGACCAGGAATGAGCATGTTTTAAGAACTCCCCAGAAATCTGGAATGTGCAGTCAGAGAGTGGTTGCAGGTAGAAGTAGGTGATCTTACTTTGAAAGTGTTTGTGTCCAGGAGATTGCTTTCGAATGTATTTCAACTTCAACTTCACTTTTAATAGAGTGTCTTTAATATATAAGTAATGAAAACAAGGTTCTTTCTCTAATCATTTCATACACTAATTAATTGAACTAGTTCTGAATGGCTATCATGTTCTTACTTTCCACAGACTAATCTTTTTTTTAAAGTTTTTATTTATTTAAGTAATCTCTACACCCAATGTGGGGCTCAAACTCATGACCCCAAGATCAAGAGTTGTATGCTCTTCTGAGTGAGCCAGCTAGGCGCCCCTCCGGACTAGTCTTTTTTTATAAGTTGAGTTTATTGAGGTTGCTAAAAAAGGACCACAGTGGTGTCACTTAGAGTTCCCAAACTGGGGCTTAATACCCAATTTAATTGCAGTTTCTTTCTTCCTTCCTTCCTTTTTCTTTCTCTCTTTTTTTCTAAGATTTTATTTATTTATTTGAGAGAGAGAGAGAGAGAGCATGAATGGGGGGAGGGGCAAAGGGAGAAACAGGCTCCCCACCGAGCAGGGAGCCCAACTCGGGACTTGATCTCAGGACCCCGGGATCATGACCTGAGTCGAAGGCAGATGTTTAACCAACTGAGCCACCCAAACGCCCCTAAATTTTTTTAAAGGATAATGCAGAATGAAAGAATCCAGATTAAATAGGTCAGATACTATATGTTCCATTTATATAACATTTTCTAAAAGACAAAATGTAGAAATGGAAAACAGATCCTCTGGTTGCTGGGGTTAGGGACGGGGTGGAAGAGGTATATTACAGAGCAGTGACACAAGAGTTTTTTGGAGTGATGGGGCTGTTATATGTCCTGATGGTGGTGGTAGTGGTTACACAAATCCACATATATATTAAAACTCAGAATTTCACTCATTCCTAAAAGTCAATTTTATTAATATTATTATTAATAATAATGTTATTATTAATAATAAACTCACTAGAAGTATAAAATGCAGTTTAAAACTTCCAAACCACTATAACAGGAAAAAAAAGGTGGGGAGGGTAATAAAGATTTCATCAGTCACTAGCAAGCAAGAAAGCTGAAAATATAGGGGGAAAAACTAGCCCTGGAAGTGGAAAACACAAAGTAAGATGGTATAAATAGATCCACACGTACTAGGAATCACAGCGGATGAACCATGGCCAGGCATGTGGCCATCCTGCTGGAGCACAATTCCAGCCTTCCCTGCACCCAGCGTGGCCCCGTGACCCACTGCTTGTGGAGGAGATGGGCATGTACACAGGGTATGCCAAGCCCAGGCTGGGGCTTCTGAAAGCAGGTGGGCCTTAACCACATTCTCTAGTTACTTCCTCAGTGACCGAAACCTAGGGATGGTAGCGCCAAGACTCAGCCACGCAGATGATGCCGATGCCCTGGGAATGTGGGCGCTGTGGCTGGGACCCTTCTGAAGGTCCACGGGGAGCAGAGCTGCACCACTGACCGGGGACCATTTTCTCCAGAACTGTTAGATGAGAAGGAAATGCATGTCTCAATTCTTTTTTTTTTTTTTTTAAGATTTTATTTATTTATTTGACAGAGAAAGACACAGCGAAAGAGGGAACACAAGCAGGGGGAGCAGGAGAGGGAGAAGCAGGCTTCCCGCAGAGCAGCGAGCCCGATGCGGGGCTGGATCCCAGGACCCTGGGATCATGACCCGAGCCGAAGGCAGACGCCCAATGACTAAGCCACCCAGGCGCCCCCCCCCTTTTTTTTTTGCGTGTCTCAATTCTTTAAGCCACTGTATTCTTTTTTTTTTTAAGATTTGTTTTTATTTATTTAAGAGAGAGCATGGGGGGGGCAGAGGGAGAGGAAGAGAGAATCTCAAGCAGACTCCCTGCTGAGCACAGAGCCTGACACGGGGCTCCATTTCATGACCTTGAGATTCTGACCTGAGCTGAAATCAGGAGTCGCATGCTTAACCAACAGAGCCCCCCAGGCGCCCCTCAGCCATTGGACCTTTGAGTGTCCTTGTTAGGCTGCTCTACCTGCCCCCTGTCTGGGTCCTGCCGGAGGATGGAGCAAAGTCCCAGGCTCCTGGTGGAGGGAGCCACGGAGTTTGGGGAGCCTTCTCGCTCTGGTGCCTTCCCTCTGCTGTGGGGCCCAAAGTCCCTGCAGACTCAGGTGATGGTGACAGGCACGCGGTTCAAGGCAGGGAGGAGAGTGGAGCCACACCGAGGGCCACCGGCCATGGGCGGGCCCTTCCCTTCCCCTGCGGGGTCCCTGGCTCACTCCTCAGTAGTGGACACAGTAGAGCTGGACGCTGCCACTGATCCGGAGCTCCCGCAGCCGCTCCAGGGCCTGCTGGTGCAGGCTGGTGGCTCCCAGGCCCAGGCCGTTGAGCGCCAGCTTCAGCCCGCCCTCCTGGCACAGGAGCAGCACCTGGGAAAGGACGGGCCGGGCCTGCAGGCTTCCGGACAAACAGATCCTCCACCGCCCGCCTGACGTCCCCACCCAGCGAGCCCTCCACTCAGAGGTCACAAAGACCGGAACCATGGGGCACCCAGTGGTGGGAAAGAACAGGACTGGGTGCCCAGCTTGTCACCAGACCGCTGTGACCTTCCATAAGGGTCATCCCAGCCCTGGGCCTCAGTTTCACCATCTGTGCCATTGCATTCCCCCAAGCACTGGTTCTCAACCCTGGCTGCACTTTGGAGTCACGGGGAGGGGAGAGGGGTGTTTGTTTGTTTGTTTGTTTGTTTTTTAAATAACCAGGGTCTGCTCTGATTAATTAAATCTGTGTTTTGGGAATGGGCTCGCTGGCAGCCACCCGGAGGTTTGAGAGCCGTGGTGTGGATGTCTGCTCCTGCTGGTAGGCCCTGGCTTCCCAGCCCCACATCCTCTGCCTCCCCACCCTCAGGACGCACATGTCTCCCCATGGGAGTGCAGCTCTGTGCCCCGCCCCGGAGGGACCAGGCCACGTGGCTCTGACTGACCTCGAAGAATCGTTGAGGGTAGAAGAGGAAGGGGGCGGAGATCAGCTTCTTGCGCCCCCAGGGCGAGATCCAGGACAGAGTTCTGTCTGCAAAGGAAGCCCTGAGCGTCACAAGCACGTGGGCGGCCTCATCCCGCAGGCTCAGTGTGAAGCTGCGAGAAGGGGCGGGAGAAGGGGCTCCCTGACTCCTCTGAGCCACGGCTGCTGGACCCTGCACACAGGGATGGATGTGGGAGAGCAGCTGGAAGATTCGGCAGCTCAGAGGGGTGGGAACACCTGAGCGAGTCTCAGGCACACCTGAGACTAATCCCCGCGTTGCCACCCGCAGGCTGGAGGACCCTGGGGGAGCAAATGACCTTGCCAGAGACTTGAGAAGAGGAGAATTACATTAGTAGTGGCTAACATTTATTGGGGGCTATATGCTAGGTATTGTCTTCAGTGTTTTGCAAATCACGTGCGGGTTAGAGACAGGCTGCCCGGCTTCAACCCTGCTCTGCTGCTTTCTAGTCCTGTGAGTTTGGGGAGGTCACTTCATGTCTCTGTGCCTCAGTTTCCTGATCTGTAGTGTGGGGAGAAGAGTACTGTACCTGCCTCACGAGTTGTCATGTGTAAAGTGCTAGAACAGCACTGGGCATGTAATTAGCACTCAGATCACACCTACTGTTTGACAAATATCACTCCATAATACAATACCTCCTATTGACAGCAACAAAGAAGATGATGTATGTGAAATCTAGCGAGTGGCTGGCACCCAGTAGGTGTTTTACGGAGTCCTCACAGAAACCCTGTGCCTTGACGTTCAGCAGCCCATATACGTGACGAGGACAAGATGTCACATGGCTGGCTCTGCTCTAGGAGGATGCCCCAGATATTTCCAGCTTTGGGAAGGAGCCAGCAAGGGCTCACCACTAGGAAGACGCTTGGAAGGCAGGGGCCCTGGAGAGTGCACCGCACAGAGCCTCTAGCCCCAACCCCAAGCCCTTTCCCCATGCCCTTCCCATTGGCCTGAGAACTCCTGAAGTTCTGGGTGCTGCCCCCCAAATCCCTGTCCTGCACAGCCCTGGGCCAGGTAACGGACTCCCTCCAGATGCCTAGTGAAGCTCTGTAGCACCTGCAGCCGCATCCGCACCTCCTCAGTGCTTACAGAGAGGGATGGAGAGGGAAGAACAAATTTTTAATGCAGACCAATTCCGTGCCCTCCAACTCCGACTCCCTCTGTCCAGTTCAAGCCACAGTCGCTTCCAGAAAACAACAGGAACAGCATTTATGTTGGCGGCCCATGGCGGAAGTGGCCTGTAGAAATGTCCTGGCTGGCCCACAGTGTTCTTCAACTTTAAAGTAATGCCATGTGCCCAGACTGGGAAAATTTATATGAAAGATGGCTTCCAGCTTCTTTTTTAAAAATAATCAGAAGGTCTGGCCTGAGTGCTTCTATGGAAATACTTTTTCCAATTTACCTTTCCAACCCAGGGCTTCACTATTTATGTCACTTGTCCGGCCTCGGGGCATGTGAATTCATGGCCCCTGAGAAACAGCAGTTCAATGACTTGCTGCATCACTAATAATAACCGTTTGACTGAGCTAGGACACGAAGCTGGTATCGTGTCTCCAAGTTTTTTGTTTTTTTTGGGGGGGGGTTGTTCTTTCTACCCCTGGGAACTTTTCCATTTTCCCTCTAGGATTGAGATGACCTTTCTCCCTTTATCCTGATGGGGAAACTCAGGACTCCAGCCTCAGAGAGGTATCGTGACTTCCCCAAGACCACAGAGTTTATAAAAGGCACAAGCAGGACTCCAGCCCCGTTGTGCCTGGCTTTGAGGTTTGTGCTGTCTGGGGCTGTGCTGCATACCTGCTCCAGAATTCACAGGCCTGCTCAAGAGCATGAAGGGCAAGAGGTTAGGGAGGTCAGGGACTCCAGAAAACCAAACCGAAACAGACAGGGAGAACAGGGCACTTCCCTTCCCTCCCGCCCCTCCACGGAGATCCTTTTGATGACCACCACATTTGTAGAGCGCTCTCTACGCGCTTGACCCAATTCAAAGCATGCATACCACCCGTGAAGCTGACACTATTACTACCTCTTTTTACACACGAGGAAACAGGCACAGAAAGGAAAAAAGTAACTGCCTTGAAGGGGCACACAGGTCGTAAGTGTCCTCAGCAGAAGTCAAACCCAGGCGATGTGGCCCAGAAAAGTCATGAAATCCAATGCAATTCCAGCAGGAAGGAAAGGAGGTGGGAAAGAAGGAAGGCAGGGGAAGAGAGGAAAAAAGGAAAAAGAAAGCGAAAGTGGCTTGGAGCCCGCAGGTTTGGGGAGTGGAGCAGGAGAGCCCCCTGTGGGAGAGGCTAGGCAGCATCCGTGTAGTTGGTGTGCGGCTCCGAGCTCCCACTGCCCAGCACTGGGCCTCCTCTTTGGGGCAGTGGTTTAGGCACTGCCCTCTGTCACCCTGGGAGGTCGAATTCTCTCTCTGGATCTCAGCCTGAGCCCTTAAAGGACCTTTCTGGAGGGCCCAGCAGCACCTGTGATGAGAGGCTAGTTGGCCTGACCAGGTGGACAGGCAGGGAAGGTACTCCCAGAATTGGGGCTGTCGGGGCCGCAAGGGGAGCCTGAGCACTGAGCACCGTGCAGTGCTCAGTGGTTGGGACTGAGCCCTGAGCACCCTCCCAACCACAAGCTCCACGATGGGGCAGTGATGTTGGAGATGAAAGAGGGGGTACTTGTAGAACTCATGCTCGACTCTGAGATGCTTCTCCCTCCCTTCCATCTGGACACTTACTCCTTTGGCTCGGGCAAGACCAGCCCCCGCAGTACGATGACCTGGCCGGGCCAGAGACCCTGGGGAAGGGCACGCGAGCAGGGCACCTCCTGTAGGAAGATGGGAAATGACTAAGAAGGGGAGCCCTGAGGGCAGGTGAGTCTGCCTCTAGGCCTGCAGCCAGGAGGACACTCAGCTCTGCTCATTTATTAAACATCTACTGCAGGCCTCGGTTCTCCTTGGCCTTTCAGGGCTGAGCTCAGTGGCCACCTGCCCTTCCCGGGGCCGTGAGCACCAGATATGTCCCCCATTGCTGCATCCTGAACTGTAATGGCCTGTTCATTGGTTTGTCTCCCCACCAGCCTGTGAGCAACTGGGGGGCCGGGACTGGCTGGTCCCTCTATCCTAGAGCCGGCACTGGGCCTGCCACAGAAGAGTTATCAAATAATCGTTTGCGGAATAAATGGAGGAAAGGTAAAACGAAACTGGAGGCTTCTATAAGGGAAGGGGGAAGCTTGATGCTGAGGGCATTTCCCACCAGGTGGGGTTGCCCCCCGGGGACGACACCTCCACCAGGTGACCCAGGAGGGAGGCCACTCACCAGGCTGGGGCTCTTCAGCAGGAAAGGCTGTCGAGGGGAGAAAAAAAGAGAAAGGAGACATGGAAACCGTGCGGGGTTCACTCAGCGAAAGAGCTTCTCAGTATTATTATGAAGAATTGGGGGTATCTGGGGTTTGTCTCTCTCAAAGACAACACAGGTGAGCGATTAGAGCCCCGGGGGGGGGCTCTCTTGGATTCAGAGGGACACTAGGTCTGGAAGAATGGAGAAGAACTGGACAGAGGGTCCGTCATTCACTTATTGTGTGGCCTTGGGCCTCATCTCCCTCTCTGCCCTGCAGGCCGACCCCAGCTGCCTCGCCCGGCTGCTGAGGACAGAAAGCTCCAACTTAGCGGGATCTTCTGATAGGAGTCCTGGGGCTCTGCCCACCCTGGGCAGCCAGCCCACCCCGTCCGTCTTCCCGAGCGGGCCCCCGCTGGGGATGGGAGAGGTGAATCCAGGCTTGCTAGCCATGGCGGGGGGCGGGGGGTGGGGTGGTGGCGGGGTGCCAGTATCCATGGCAACTGCACAGTGAGGGCAGCTGGCTTTTGTCAACTTGGACAGCAGCCCGGCGAGTGGCAGGTCAAGCTGAGGGAGCTGGGAGCACCGGTGGCTCAGCTAGGGTGGCCGGAACCACCAGGGCCAAGCTTGCTCCCCAGAGACTCACGTATCCAGCCGGATACTCGCTGCTGCCCTCCGCAAATGGCTGTCAGGAAAGAGAAAAGGCAACACGGGGGATTCAGGCCCCCTGCAGGCTCTGCGAGTCATTTGCTGGGCTCCTGCCTACCCTGCCTGGGCCCAGGAGTAGGCAGAGGTTGGCTTTGGTAGCTCCTCATTCTCCCTGTAGGCCTTGTGGGTGGTTCTCAAACCCGGCATTTGAACATGCTGATTCCTAGGCCCCACCTCAGACTTACTGAGTCAGAATGTCTGGCGGCAGGTCCTAGAAATCTGCATTTTTCATAAGCCCCTCAGGGGCGATGGACAGAGCTAGCTGCTCCTTGGGCCCCATGGCTCCAAGGGTCCAAGTGGATCACCTCCTGGCCATTGCTCTTGGGTCCCCTTCTGGGGGCACCTTCTCAACCCCACTCGTATCTCACACCTGATGGATCCCCTCCACCTTGGTTATGACAGGTGTGACAGGGCCTGCCTGGGGCAGCGGGGGCAGGGGCGGGGGGGGGGGGTCCTGGGCCCGTCCAGACACCAGGGGAAGTCAGGGGCCATTGTCACTCAGGGAACTCACGTTGATGTTCAGGAATCCAACGGCCTCCACCAGGATGTCACCAAATATGCCCAGGGTGTCCACACGGGACAGTGGGAGCCGGTAGCGGTAATGGAGAAAGTGTTGTCCGTTCACACTCACCTGGAGAGACAGACAGACGGACAGCTCAGCAGCACCTGATGCGCACTGAGTCCGCACTAGCGTGCCTGGCCTCACTGGGCGCTCTTACCCAGAATGTCCCTCGTTTACCTTCACGCCCACTCTGAGAGACGGGCACATTTGACAGACGACGTGCCCACGGCGCGGGGAGCTTCCGTGACCTTCCCAAGGTTGCACAGCTGGCCTGGGAACCAAGGCCCCCTTCACTGGCCCTCCGCCCCTGACATAGCACTTCCCTTCGTCATCCCTCAGCAGCCCCAGCCCCAGGTGAGGAAATGGGGTTTCAGGAGGCCGGACGACTCCTCCACCACAGGGCCCTCCCTCCACTGCTGGTTCCCATTGGCTCCCCTTCCCCCCGCAGAGCTCAGAGTCCTGGCATCTTTCTGGCAGGAGTTCCCATCTGTGGAGAAAGCCTTGAAGTGGAGTTCGGGGTCCCTGCGCCCTCCACCACCCTGAGATGGGGTGGATATGAGTACCCACCTCACGAGGATCTAACGAACGGGCACTTAGGGGCTAGAAAAGAGCCCATCGTACTGCAGGCACTCTTGAAGAGCTTGCTAGCAATGTGGCAGTGGTACCCGCCCCAGGGCCAGGCACAAGGGAGCTTTCTTGTTGTCATGGGTCCCAGGCCACGTGGGCCCAAGGCAGCTTGGAACAGGGCTCGGCAGCTGCTCGGTCCTCTCGGGTCTCAAGTCCTCCCAGTGATGCCCCTCCTCACGGTGACGTGGGGAACTCGGCAGAAGGAAGGAAGAGGGGAAGGATGCAGGTTCTAGACACTGCTGCCCATCCCTTCCCTTCACCTTCATTTCCTCGTTTCCAAAGAGAAAGAGGATGAGGAAGCAGGCTCCTCTCTGCAGGGGCAGGTGGGGCCACCGGGCCTCGGCTTGCCAGCGCTCCAAGTGCAGGGTGTTGCAGATGACGTGGGGCTTGGTGGTGTGGAAGCGAGGGTTGAAGTGGATGGCGATATCTGGCCGGGGATGCAGGCTGCAGCCGCACTGAAAGTCCACCTGGAACCTGGTGAGAGGTGCTCTCGAAGGGGCACCCCTGGTCGGAAACCCCGAGACCCCGAGGGCAGAGAGGAGCCTCCAGCTCGATGCCTCTGGGGTTGAGCCCCAGCAGCCCTGTGGAGCACCCCCTTACCTGCGTGCCTCTAGAGGGACCACTCCCTGTAGCATGACCATCTTGCCTGCACGCAGGCCCCCGAAAATTGTCGTGACATAAGGAATCACCTGAACAAGGGGAGAAAGCTAGCCACATGGAGCTGGAGAATGGGTCTTACGAGGGAGCCCCGTGTCAGGTGGGTGGGGAGAGAAGAAGAAGAAAACTCCACTCTCCCGCTCCAAACAGAAAACGTCCTTATGGGGGAAAAATTAGTGTTCTCTTCCACCTTCTCCCCTTTCCTGGACCCTCACATGTCAAAGCCACGTTGCCCTGGGGAAGCCAAGTTCAGCTCCATCCCCCCCTTGCAGCACCAGCCCTGCCCCTCTCCCCAGCTCCTTGAGCACAAGAGTGTCCTCAGTGAGACTTTGCCCTGGCCTCCGGAAGCCAGGTGTCGAGGTCCTGAGGACTGTTTACTGGCTCAAGCCCAGGAACTGGGGGGCGGGCAGAAAGGCTGGACAAGTTGGGACCCTATATGGATGCCCAGAGAGATACCCAACAATGGCCCAGCCTACCTGCCCAGGCTCACCTTTCCCCACTTAGAAGCTGTGTGGAATTCCTAACACACAACACACACGTTTACAACTCCTTGCCTTTTCAGGGCCGCTTCCTCTGCTCTCCCTTGGCCCTGTGAGATCCAACTTGACTTTCAAGGTTCTCTGACACCTTCTCCAAGCACTGTCCACTATGGTGACTGAGTTTTTCCTTCCCTCCCTTGTGTTCCCAGAACACTTCCCTCATATGGCTAGCTTGGCCGTTGGTGGGCTTACAGGGAGACCACGGGGCTGGCTACTTCTGCTGGAGGCTCAGGCCACTCAGAGCTGAAGCCCTGTCTTTCCCTTCTGTGCTCCGTGCCTGGCCTGGCACAGCGTGGGCTCTGGATAGGTGTTTGCAGAACGAATGTGAACACCTCCCAGGTACACGTCAGCATAACACAAGACTGGCTTTCACATATTCTCCGAACCATCTAGAAGGAGCTGAGCCCCAACAGTGCTGCCCTCCAGGTAGGAGCTCGGCAGCCTGCAAAGCAAGGAGGGGTTGTAACCTGGGCAGCAGCTTCACCCCGTTACTCAGGCCCCCGGGAAGGTGCTGGAGCTCCCGGCTGTCAGAGGGCCCACAGCTTAGCCAGACTCAGCACCTCAGTCCCTCCCACTTCCCAGGCTCCAAGCCTGGCCTGTAATAATTACTGAGCTGATGCACCTCTCCCAGGGGGAGGGGGCCAAATCAAGAGAAAGTGATAATTAGCATTCATTAATGGGAGGGCAGAGTGTCCTGGGCATTCAGCCTTCTGTAAAGCCCAAGGCCAGACTTCAGAAAATCTGCGTGAGCAATGAGCAGGAGGGGACGGGGGACACCCAGTCCCGAGTTTGAGGTACAACCTGACTCTTCCAGGCTGGGGATGGGTCTACCCTAGGTACTCAGTGCCCCCACAACAATACTACTCAGTAGCCCCAGATCCTCCTAGCCTAGCCCCCCATCACACAGTAGGAGCACAGCACTGACTTCAGGTTCTATTACTTTTAAAATGTAAGGACCCTGTGAACCCCATCATTCTCACCCAAGTGGGAATTAGCTGGTCAGCCACTTTGCTAAGCTCAGGAGGGCCTTCCAGAGTTCATGAGCAGGTGCTGGGGGAACAGGGCCCAAGACCGAAGGCCTCTCCACCCACTACCTGGGAGCCTGGGTCCAGCTGGAGTCTGGGGGGTGGGAGGGACCAAGACCTGGAGATTCCAGACCAGAGTGGCTGCTCACCGGGTGGAAGATTGGCGGCTGCAGGATGAAGGGGTCAGGAAGTGGGTCCAGTTTTTCTCCAGGTGACATGGGGGTGGAGCGCCTCCAATTCAGCCTGCAGATCCAGATTCCAGGAGCCCTGGCCCTGCCCCCACTGGCCGGACTTGCCTTTCCCAGCCAGGAACTGAGGTGCGAGGGCAGCTCTCCCAGCTGTTAGCCTCACCTGCGCCCAGCAGGGTCCCAAGTGCCCCTTGCAGCAGGCCCGAGAGGGCAGGTCTGGGCAGCGGTCCAACCCTGGTCCACACCCCAGATCCAGTCCCACCAGCTGGATTGGGGCTGTCAGCAGAAATCCTAGTCCAGGAGCAAGAAGCTTGAACTAAGCACCTAGCTAACCAGCGCCCTGCCCCCACCTGCACTGGGATCCGAAGCACCGAGCTGTTACAGAGAGAGGGCAGAGGGTTTGTGGTTTCCCTGGCTCCCATTGGAGCCCTCCCCAGTCAGAGGCTGGAGTGGTGGCACATGTGGGCAGGTCCCAGGAAAAGCCCCGCCCCAGCTTCTTGGCCATCACTGAGTGGCTTCTCATGCGGACTCCCCCCCCCCCCCCCCCCAGAGGTTTTCATCTCTTCCCCTCGTTTCCCTGCCCGTTCCCCCACTTTTCTCCCTTTTGCATGATTTATAGTTCCCTGGGGCTCCATTTCAGCTTTAGCTACAAATGCCAGGGCCCAGCTGCGGTCACCAGAAAGAAGGTGGAGGCTGGTGAGAAAGGGGCAGGAGGAGAGGAGCGCCCCCTGGAGGCTCAGAAGAAGCAGCGAGGTGCAGCGAGCGGGGCAGTGCACTCCACACCAAAGGAGGCCTGGGTTCTTGCTCAGCTTCTGCACTAACGTGCTGTGTGCCCTGGGCCAAGTCACTTGACCTCTCGGTGACTCCCTTTGCTCATCTCTGTATTGAGAGGGTGACTCCAGAAGAGTGTCTCCACGGGATGTCTGTGTCTGGGGGTGGGCCCAGGTATCTGCCTTTTAATCACGATCCCCCAGGATTCTTTGGACTAGAGTTGCTCCCGTCCTGGTTCGAATTCCAATAAAGCCTTCCCTTTAAAAGGCAGCACAACCCCTCAACTTTATCCTGATTTGGGAGGTCCCAGGATCCAAGCACCCTGTCGGACTTGGCGGCAGGGAGTTCCTGGCAGCACGCCAGGCTGGGCAAAGGCTCCAGGGCCTGGGGAGCTGAGGGAAGAGTAAGGCTGCTCTGACGGTGGGGCAGGTGCAGGGGTGGCTCTGGGGAAAGGCAGCTGAGCCGGAGCATCTCTAGTATGGCATCAGCGCGGTCTGGCAGCTTGTTAGAAATGCGTCCTTCTGCCGCCCCCACCCACTCCCCCCTCCTACGGAAGAGGAATCTCTCTGGTGGCAGGGTCCAGGAATCTGCATTTTTGCATACTCCCCAGGTGATTCTGATGCATGTGGATGTTTGAGAAGCACTCACTGACTAGGCCTTAACTGGCAGGGCTTGGGGTGTGGAGCCAGGAAATTCGCTCAGATCTTCCTGGGTAGGAGGAGCTGGGCTGTGGCAGGTTCTTTGTGTGGGGAAATTTGATCAGATGTGTGTTCATACAGAGTAATCTAGATACACAATGTGGAGGAGAAACCAAGGTGGAGAATTCCTTTGGGCAAGGAAGGGGGCCCTGCCCCTGGGAGGCAGGCCTGGGTCCTGGTCGCAGCCTCACAGCGCCCATCTTTTGGCCTGAGGCAAATGTGCTCTCCCTCACTCCCCAACCCGGCCTCAGTCCCCCCTCTGAACCGGGGAAGGAGGGTGGCATAGCAAAATAGCACAGACTGGGCTGCTTAAACACAGATGTTCATTTTCTCATGGTTATGGAAGCTAGAAGCCCAAGATCAAGGTGTCCGCAAGGATTTTTTTTTTCCCCTGAGGCTTGCAGAGCTTTGCCCCTTGATCTGTGTGTTTGTGTCCTAATCTCTTATAAGTAGACCAGTCATCAGGAATTCAACCCTTAGGAACTCATTTTACCTAAATTACCCTTTTAAAAAAGGCCTTATGTCCAAATACAGTCTCAGTCTAGTTACTGGGGGTGAGGATTTCCACATCTGATTTTGGGGGCAGAGCACAATTCAGAGGAATAGCTATAACTGGTCTCACCCTGGAACCCCAAGACCGTTGCAGGGGTCAGGAGTGGGGGCTGCCGAGGGCCCACAGTGGAGGCAGCAGAAGGAATAAGGTGGTGCGTTTCATTTCTCCTTTCCCTGGGTTTTGACAGCTGGGAGGGACCTGGCTGGGCTTAAAGCACCTCCAGAGCTTGTAGAATATGGGAGGCTACAGAATAAGAGAGGGCCTTGGTGTCTGTGGGTCCATCCAGGGGTGGGAGAGGGCAAATCCCTCTTCTTGAGCCAGAGGGAGGGGAACGTGTGGGAAAGGGGAAAGGGCTGGTGATGACCCTGATACTGACAGGAGGGGGGCATCCCCCTGCCCCAGGATGGTGCCCCCACCCCACCCCAGCTCCCTAGACCTGGGCTTGTCCCTCTGAGCACTAATCATAATTGGTCATTATATATTGAGGAATTGTCTGATGTTGTCTCCCCCTCCCCCTACTTCCTGAATATAAATTCCAGGCAGGCAAATTTATACTTACACCCTCAGCACCAAGCAATGCCTGATACCGAGCAAGTGCTCAAAATGTATTTAAAGAATGAATGACTGTAAGGAGCTGTGGTTTCTGGCTCCCATCGGGCCACCAGCTCCTTCTGTCTCCCCCAGCAGGCGTGGAGTCCTGGCCCAAGCTCACACTAAGCCCATGCTCTTCCCACTGGCCGAAGATCATCACTGAGGCAAATGTAGCTATTTATCAATGAGTAACCAATTAGTAGCTGGGAATCATAAACTGTGGTCAGGGATGTCAGGGTGCCCCACTCTCCCCCATTCTTTGATCCAGAAACTTCTTTCCCTGCCCCTGCTCCTGAATGGGTGTAACTCTGGGCCTAGGGAGAGACTAATGCCCAGATTCACCTACTTTGGTCTACATCTCACCCCCTTCTTCTCTCTGGTTCCCTTCTAGGTCACTGGAGAGTCTCATGGATCCTCTTTCTCTTGGAACCAGTTTTGCACCATCTTGGAACAGAGGGTAGGATAATGAGCAGAAATCTTGGACAGGAAGGACTGACAGAACTGGACATCTGGCTGGATAAGAAAGATGAGGAAAAGGGGCCAAAAAAAGAAAAAAAAAAAACCCTCCAGCATCTTGAACCGAAGGATTGGGAAGAGTCTGGGGCACTAAGGGAAAAACAGAGAAGCCGTGGGTATAATCTGGAGGAGAGGGGAGCTAATTCCAGTCAGGACCGTTTTGGAGGAGGGGGAGGGTGCAGGAATTGGCATGGACAGGGGATGTTCAGTCAGCATTTGTTAGTTTGTATGTTTCTAGAAATTTATCACTGTCTTCCAGATTGCCCAATTTGTTGGCATATAATTGTTAATAATCTTCTCTTATAATTGTCTTTCAATCAGCATCTGTTGAAGGAATGAAGGTGTTGTTGCCTGAAAGCATGTTAATACACTCTGGAGAAGACAGTTTCAACTTATTTGGGTGCTCTTCTGCCCTGTGAGGGAGTTTTTGTGCGCTGTGGTCATTACGGGGAGGGGCAATCACTCTTGCTCTCAAGGAGCTCCCAGTTTCATTGGAGAGAGACGACATATATTTGGAGGGGAAAACCCACAGGACAAAGCCAGCAGCTTTTTATTTATCTTCCACCCCGCCCCACAGAGATCAAACCATCTGGACGGAAATATTGTAAAATGGGGGAAGAGCAGGCATCACCCATAACCTCAGGAGGCTAACACAACACTTCTCATTCCTTTGATGTTTATCCTAGGGACCTTCTTCCCTCCCCCATGGAACAGAAGTTTATGGAAAAATCTCAACCAAAAACTTGACGTAGCTTGATTTTTTTTCCCCCGCCCACAGCTCGTGACCATGTAGGTTGACTCTCTCTTTCCTGCTGGGTTCCTGGCACTTTCCAATCATTTTCGGTCACCGAAACTCCGTAACAGTTTAGCCCTGGTCATCAATGTTGGCGACACCGCAGAAAGAAACAGAAATGGACATATTTACTTCCTGATAGAAGAACACATCACCACTAATGAAATCCTCCTGAAGAAAAAGCCGCCCAATCTGATTTGATTGAGTCTCTGTACTTGGGTACCCGTGTGTAGGACTATAGGGCGTGAATGATCATATTGAACAACAGCAGCAAAATTCAGCCCGTCGGGAGACTTTACAAGACCAATAGCCCTGGTTCTTTTTTTTTTTTCCTTTAAATATGGACCGCTTCACAAATTTGCATGTCATTCTTGTGCAGAGGCCATGCTAATTGTTTCTGTATCATTCCAACTTTGGTATGTGTGCTGCCCGAGCCAGTGCCCCTGTTTCTTCAATTAAAAAGTTATGAGGAAGAAAAGAGGTGGAGGAGAAACCTATAGGATTAGAGGTTGGCAAACATGTTCTGTAAAGAGCCAGTGGGTAAATATGTTAAGCTTGGATGGCTATAAAGGTTCAGATGCCACAGCGACTACGCAACCCTGCCCTTGTAGGGGAAAGTTGCCATACATAACCTGAAAATAAAACATATGGTTATTTATTTATTTTTATTCTTTGAGAGAGAGAGCAGGGGAGGGGCAGAGGGAGAGGGAGAGAGAGAATCTTAAGGAGACTCTGAACTGGGTGTGGGGCTCCATCTCACAACCCTGAGATCATGACCTGAGCCGAAATCAAGAGTCGGACACTCAACTAACTGAGCCAGCCAGGTGCCCTGGGTATGGTTATGTTTAAATCAAACATGGGGAGCACCTGGGTGGCTCAGTTTTGGTTAAGCTACTGCTTTCGGCTCAGGTCATGCTTCCAGGATCCCAGGGTCCTGGGATCAAGCCCTGTGTTTGGCTCCCTGCTCAGCTGGGAGCCTGCTTCTCCCTCTGCCACTCCCTCTGTTTATACTCTCTGGCTCTCTCTCTCTGTCAAATAAATAAATAAAACCCTAAAAAAATAAATAAAAATAAATCAAACATCAATGCTGAAAGCTGAATATCATATAATTTTCACATGACACAAATAATCTTATTTTTGAAACCACTGAACAATGTATAAAACCAGTCTTAGCTCTCAGGCCACACACAAACAGGCAATGGGTGGTAGTTAGTGGGTAGGTGCTGACTCCTACTTCAATGGATCTTTCAAGTAAATTAAGAGGCACATCAACTGGTTGTAACTTGTGGACTTCGTTTGGATTTCGGTCCAAGCAAAAACCACTTAGGAGACATATAAGCAAAATCAGGGAGATGTAGACATTGATTGGCTATTTGATGACATTATGGAACTGCTAAAATGTTTTTAAATGTGCTAAAGGTATCATGGTCATCTTCATTTTGAAAAGTCGCCTTATCTTTTAGAGATATTTACTGAAATATTTACTGATGAAATAATCCGCCATCTGGCATGTGCTCCAAAATATTCCAAGTGTAGAGGAAGTGGGTGGGATTCTAGATGAAGCAAGATTGGCCATGTACTGAAGCCTGGAGAGATTGGGTGAAAGGTAAATGGGGATCCATTATTATCTTTCCTCTACTTTTATTTGTGTGTGAATATTTCCATAATAAAAACAAAACCAAACAACCCCCCCAAATAAGTAAATAAATAAATACCCACCAAGAAAATCAACCAAATCAAAACCACAACTCAGTGCTCAGCTTTGATCTTATCTCTAATTTACCTGGGATGAGATGCATGGCCTAAGGGCCTGGGAGCGTGGAGGAGCACACTCCGCACGACTGCAGCTGGGGGCAAGGAGGAAGACCAGAGTTGACAGACCCTGGGTAAGCCATGGGCAGTTAATGGACTCTCTCCAGCTCTATGCCATTCTAGTCCTAGTGCTGGGGCCTCTGCTCATGTGGTCTTGGTAGAGAGGGTGTGCAGGCAAAGTTCTTTTACTCAAGTACTCTCTGTCACTCTCTGAGGATCCCTTCAGAGAGGCCCCCGGGTCTCCCTTTGGGCCCTTCCACAGGTAGGAGTCCTTCCTCTCCCAGTCTCCAGCCCAGCCTGGTTGTCCGAACAGCCCCCCAGCTCTTGTTCCTCCACCTTAGCTCCTTCACATGATGCCACAAGAGTGTCTAGGGTCCTCATCTGCGGACCACGAGAGCCAGGAGTGAATCACCAAAGATCTTCGAGATAGGAGCTCCAAAGGGCTATGTTTTAGGAAGAAGAAAGATGACCTCAGAGGGAAGGTCTGCAATGCAAGGAGTGAGGAGCAAAGGTAGTGGCCAGCAGGCAAAATAAAACATATGTCTGTGTAATATATGAATGGTAATAATGTGAATTCAGGCTTTGAAAAAGGGCAACACTAAAATAATATGGGAGAGGAAGACAGGGGTGAGTGTTCTTATGTCCTCGCATTGCTGCAGAGGGGTGTTTAAGATATTACTTTTAGACTTTGGGCATGCATGTTAAAATTTCAAGGGCAATAAATAAAAGAATAGAGTATAAACTTCCAAATGAGTAGAGGGAGAAATGTAATATACCAAAGATCAGATCTTTATGAAGAATAATATAAAACTTCACTGAAAGTTGTTAAAGAAGACCTCACAAACAGAGATAATATGTAATCAATGGGAAGACTCCATTTTGTAAAGATGTCAAAATTGCCAAATTGAAATCTTGACTCAATGTAATTTCAAACAAGATGTCTACAGAGTATTTTGAGCAATTTAGCAAGCTAATATTTATGGCAGGGCAAAAGCCCAAGAATAGCCAAGAAACTCCTGTGGAAGAATAAAGGGGGGAAGTCTCAAGAATTCCATATATCAAGATTTACCATCAAGATATAGTAATTAAGATCACATGATAGTAACACAAAGACAGACATATTTACCAGTGGAGTAGAAGACAGCCAACGATATTCTTGCTCATTCACTAGAGTCTGACACATAACACAGATGGTCTTGCTTATTCCTGGGGGAAGAAGAAACAGTGAATAAACAAGACTGAGAGAAATCATATGGGGATTATTCATATGGGGAAAAATCAATTCCAAGTAGATTAAATGAAAAAGACAAAATTTTAAAACTTTTACAAGAAAATATACGAGAATATTTTTCTGACTTCGGAGCAAGAAAGAACTTCATGGCAAGACACAGAGTGCTAATCACAAAAGAGAGGACTGATAAACTCTACTTCATTAAAGTTAATAACTTCTCTTTATCTGAAGACCTCAAAAAGTGAAAAGACAAGCCATTAACTGGAAGAAAATACGTGTAAACAAATAGAACCGACAAAGATGAGCATCAAGAATACATACACGGCTTCTACATGTTAATAAGAAGACAACTCCAAAGAAAATTGGGCAAAAGACATGAATAGGCACTTTTTACAAGAGGAAATCTAAATGGCTGATACATATATGTAAAGATTTCAATCTTAGTAATCAGTGAAATATAAATTAAAACTTCCAGTAAGACTTCTTAGTAAAATACTATTTTATATCCATTTACCTGGAAAAAACAAGTATGACAGTACTAAGTGTTGGTGAAGACATAAATCCACAAGAATTCTTACACATTGCTGGTAGAAGTGAAATGGGCACCATCACTTGGGAAAATGTTTTAGTATTCTGTTGTAAGGTTGAATATTTGCACACCTTCCCAGGTACTAAATTCTGTAGAATCTTTTGTGTACATCCATCAGGGCACAATTTGGGTTCTCTTCAATAGCTTCTAATTCCAAATTAGGAAAAAACCATGTGGCTTTATCACCAGGTTGATAAATTGTAGTATATTCACAGAATGGAATATTTTCCAGCAGGGGAAATGAATTACAGATTTATACAGTAATATGTATGTATGATGGAAACAGCTTTGAAAGAAGCAAGTTGCAGAAGATAACATACAGCATCCCGTTTTTATAAAGCTTCAAATCTGCAAAAACAATGTATGAGGAGTACAAAGAAGGGACTTTAAAAAGCTATCTTAAAAAGCAAGGGCATGGGAGCACCTGGGTGGCTCAGTCAGTTTAAGCATCTGCCTTCAGCTCAGGTCATGATCCCAGGATCCTAGGATAAGCCCGGGGAAGGTCTCTCCACTCAGCACGGAGTCTGCTTCTCCCTCTCCCTTTGCCCCTGCCTCTGCTTATGCTCTCTCTCTCTCTCTCTCTCAAATAAATAAAAATCTTAAAAAAAAAAAGCAGCGAGGGCATAATAGACACAAGAGTGGGAAAGGTTACCTCCGGCAGAGGGCAGCAGGAGGATGGGATAAGGGAGGAAAACACAGGTAGGAGCATCTGTGCTAGGTATGTTCCCGTTCTTAAGTAGACTGGTGTATTCATGGGCAGTAATTTTACTATGTTTCGCAATACATGTATTCTATGTGTTTTTGTTTTTTTAAGGAGCCTCAGTACCCAGCGTGGAGCCATCCCTGGGCTAGAACTCACGACCCTGATATCAAGACCTGAGCTGTTATCAAGAGTCCCACGCCTAACCGACTGAGCCACCCAGGCGCCCCTCCATGTGTTCTTTTGCATATATTACATATCATATATAATTAGTTACAAAATATATAATTTAGGTCATAAATAATTCAAATAAAAACTTTGAATCCCTCAAGATCTTAACTCCTGAGCGTGTCTCCCCAGGCCCTCCTAATCTGGCATCAATGCGTTTGTCGCTCCTCGATCGGCTCCGTCTGGCTTCTGCAGCCACGTCGGACCGCGCCTCCGGCCTCCGTGCCTACTGTTCAGCGTTGCCTTCCACTCCCGGGATGACCTCGGCCGCCGCCTTTCCTGGGCCTCTAAGCGCCGCCCTGAGCGCCTTCTCGGTTCCCTCCGCCGTGCGCACAGCGCCCGCGCGCCCCCGCCGTTTGCTGCGCGCCCCGGGTTCCCTCGCTTGGCGGCCCTCCGCCCTCTGCAGGGCCTCACCGCGCTGCGCCAGCGCCCTCCACCCCCGCCCCGGGCTCCCCCAGCCGCAGAAACGGGATGGGCCTGAGCCCCGCCGCCCACGAAGAGAGCAGGCACCACCTCTCTCGCTTCCCCAGGCCGCGCCCCAAACCCGCCCCGCGAGCCACAGGTACGCGGCTTGGGGACCGGTCAGCAGCCCCCGGCAGGTCAGCTGTGCCGCGTCCGCCCGGCCGCAGGAACCGGGCTCCTCTGCACCGAGCCCGGAGGCCCTACTAGGGGAGTTCTCAGGTCCCAGCGGGCCGTCGGACCCCCAGAGAAGGCACCAGAGATACCTTCAAGGCTCCTCGTAGCTCTGTGTTGGTCGAGCAAAATGCCCGTTAACCGGAGTGAGCGCATACTTGGGAATGATCTTTTGTTGGTAATTCAATCAAAGCGAGCCAGGCGTCCAGTGCCTCTCTCGGGTATCTACCCTCCGACCCTATTTCGGGTGGAAATGGAAGCGTAGGTGGCAGCTCCCCAACAGAGTTGACAATGGCTCTAGGACTCTAGGTCCTCAGAAGCTTCTGTTGTCAGGTTTAGCCCCCGGATTTCTGGATTTCTGGGATCTCACTTCATCCTCTCGATTTTATCCCTGGGAATTCCTGAGTCTCTCCTTCCCAGGGGAACTGGGGCCTCTCCAGCATCTAGTCCCACAATCCCCTTCATTTACCCAAAAACTGATTGAGGGCCGACCAGGCCAGGCACGGTTCTCGACTGGAGCTCTGAGCCCACCTTCACATAGATGTCAAGGTGTTTGCTCCAACTCTCCCTTCACAGATTTCATTCCCTGTAGGAGGCAGTTGTGGTTTAAATAGCATCCTCCTCCCCACCCCCCACTAGAAAAATCATCTCAAGCGTTGGTCCAGCTCTCTGCCAAGGAGCGGCAGCAGGGAACTTCAGAGCTGAGCAGAAGAGTCCAGGAGGGGTAAGAGTCTTTGTATGGAAGGACTGGGTCTTAGGGTGGGGAAGCCTTTGAAGAACCGACTTTGATGGCAGTTCTGTAAAGCAAATCCAGAGGTGGTTTCCATAGGAACCAGCCTACCCCCCCCCCCAACCAGTGAAGGGAAGGCTGGTGTGCTGCCGATAATAGATTACCACCAGGCCTGGGGCCGCTAACTGGGCCTGCCCGGCATCAGTTTCTAGCCACAAGAACCTCCAGAACCCTGAGAACTGGCGCTTACCACATGACTACTTGGTCTCACTAATGAATGATGTGATCTTGCAAATTTCCTCAATTCACTTTCATTAAAAACACAGTTTGCTTCTTTTTTTTTTATTTTAAAGATTTTATTTATTTATTTGACAGAGAGACACAGCGAGAGAGGGAACCCAAGCAGGGGGAGGGAGAGGGAGAAGCAGGCTTCCCGTGGAGCAGGGAGCCCGACGCGGGGCTCGATCCTAGGACCCTGGGATCATGACCTGAGCCTAAGGCAGACACTTAATGACTGAGGCACCCAGGCGCCCCCAGTTTGCTTCTTTTTAAAATTTTGAGGGTCTGAACGTTCCCCAAAGAGCTATACTCCAGCCCCATACACTATACTTTGGAGAAGAGGTAAAACATGGAGGAAAGGCAAAGAAAATGCCATTTTTTTTGGTTGGTAATGTACCAGGTGTGTATGTATGCTTTCTCCTTTAACCCTCCTGACAACTCTGCGAGACAAATACTCTCATGTCTATTTTATAGATAATCAAACTGATGTTCAGACACATTCATTTACTAGCTCAAGGTTGGACAGGAAAGATCAGAGCCAGGACTCAAACCCAGGTCTTTTTTTTTTTTAAGATTTTATTTTTTTGAAAGTAATCTCCACATCCAACGTGAGGCTTGAACTCATAACCCCGAGATCAAGAGTCTCACACTCCACCACTCTACTGACTAAGCCAGCCAGGCGCCCCAAACCCAGGCCTTTTTGACCCCAATATATTTCACTATACTATCCCAAGGCATATTCCTGCCTTTGGTTTCAGCCCTCTCTTAACAACGTTTTGGTTCAAGGGACAAAATATACTGATTTCTTTCATGATACTTGCAGTTACAGTATTGAGGCTTAATGAGATTTCCCAGAAATATGGAGCTAGCTGTTGGAAGAAACAGCTCAAGAGTTCAAGGGGCTTGCTTCTCCCAGGAGGGTGGGCAGAGAGAAGGGAGGGAGTAGAGGCCTGTTGCATTTCATTAGAAGCCATTATGTACCGTTACCATTTTTTTAAAGTTATATGCAAGTGTCATTTTGATAAACATGTAAGAAAGCTGATCAGCAATAAAAAAAAAAAATCCTGAAAGCTACTCATTGCTATCATTAGCAGTTTAACAGTCATTTTAACGGCAGTTATTTTGCATGGCAGCTAACAGCATGATCACAGAAACAAGCTTTGGGGAGGATGTTTCCTAGGGTCTCAAAATTGAAAGAGGTCTGAAAATCACAAATCTGAAGTAATACAGAATTTCCAATAATCGTGGAATCGTGTTATTTGTTAACTCTGTGTTCACAAAATTCATTTAGGGAGAAGCCCATAGTTAACTTGGAGACCACACCCAACCAGAAAAGAGCAGAGTCGAATTCAACCCCAAAGCCTGAGAGCGCAGGGAAATTAACAAAGCAGGCCACTGAGGTGGGTATCACAAGAGTTCTTAGCGCATATCTTTGTGGCGCCTGCGACTTTTCTACAGACTGTGTTTTACTTAATTTAGACTGTGTGGCAGGTTGAAGTGCATCCTGATTTGCGATGTTGTGCCTTAAAAAAATTTTTAGAACAGCTTTGTTGAACTCTCCTGAGCTTTACTGAGGTATAACTACATAGCTTTAACTGACATACGATAAAGTGCGCATATTTAGAATATACAGTTGGATATATTTGGTATGCTATGTGTGCACCCACAAGACCATCACCACAATCAAGATAATGAACATCTCCGTAACTCCCAAAACGTTGTTTCCCTTTGTAAAGCTCGCCTCTCCTCACCCACATCCCCAGGAAGCATCTGATCTGATTCTTGTCACTATATGTTAATTTGCATTTTCTAGAGATTTATGTCAATGGAATCATATTGTATGTGCTCTTTTTGTCTGTCTCCTTTCACATAATTTCATGTAATTATTTAAAGTTATATCAATATTGTTGCATGTGATTAATAGTTCATTCCTTTTTGTTACTAGGTAGTATTCCACTGTATGGATACACCATTGTTTATCCATTCACCTGCTGATGGGCATTTGGGCTGTTCCCAGTCTTTGGCTATTACAAATAAAACTGCTGTGAACATTTGTGTGCAAGTGTTTGTGTGGACATATGTTGTCTTTTCTTTTGGGTGAATACCTAGGAATGAAATGGCTGGATCATATGGTAGATGTATTTTTTTTTTAAGATTTTATTTATTTATTTGAGGGGGGAAGGGGCTGAGGGAGAGAGAGGATCTCAAGCAGTCTCCCCTGCTGAGCACAGAGTCCAGCGCACAGAGCTCAGTCTCAGGACCCTGAGATCATGACCTGAACCAAAGGCAGATACTTAACTGACGGAGCCACCCAGGCGCCCCCATATGGTAGTTGTATTTTTAAACCCGCCTCTCCTGACCTCCATCCCCAGGCAGCACCTGATCTGCTTCTTGTCACTATACGTTAATTTGCATTTCATAAAACTCTTACATAGTTTAAAGAGTTACATAAGACATAAAGATAATGTTTTCCAAACTGGTTGTGCCATTTTACATTCCCAACATTGGTGTGTGAAAGTTCCAGTTTCTCCACATCCTCATCAGCATTTGGTATGGTTAGTCTCTTAAATTGTAGATATCCTCATAGGTCGGTAGGGATCTCATTGTGGTTTTAATTTGCATTTCCCTAATGACTAACAATGCTGAACATCTTCCATATATATCTTCCTTGGTGAAGTGTCCAAATCTTTTTGCGCATTTTTCCCCTTGGTTTCTTCAGAAATTCTGTGTGCAAGCCCTTCATCAGATATATGCTTTGCAGTATTATCTCTCAGTCTGTGGCTTTTGTTTTCATTCTCTTAACATCTTTTGAAGAACAAAATTTTTAAATTTTGATGAAGTCCAATGGATGGTGGTGATGGTTAAACAAATTTTGTAAATTGTATCTCAGAAAAGAAACAGGTTAAAAGCCCCTTTTACTTCTGTGAAATTTATTTTATTTTATTTTGTTATGTTAATCACCATACATTACATCATTAGTTTTTGATGTAGTGTTCCATGATTCATTGTTTGTGTATAACACCCAGTGCTCCGTGCAGAAAGTGCCCTCCTTAATACCCATCACCAGGCTAACCCATCCCCCCACCCCCCTCCCCTCTAGAACCCTCAGTTTGTTTCTCAGAGTCCATAGTCTCTCATGGTTCTTCTATGAATTTTTGCCAGGCAAATTGCTGTCCTCCGCAAGGGAAATAGAGCTGGGCACTGAGAGGTGAGATGCAGCCTTGAGGAAATTAGACTAAAACTGGCAAATTGTTGCATAAGTGACAACGCCGTCGTAAAGCTGATGGGTGACTAGGGCGGTGTGATCGACTCCATGGCCCCCTCGGTCTCCCCAGGCTCTGATGGCCCAGCTCTAGGTTTTCTTTTCTTACTTTCTTTTGTTTTTTATTGTGGTAAGAGCACCTAATATGAGATCTACCCTCTTAATAAATTTTTAAGTTATTGTGCACATACGGGCATACATACACCCACACAGTCTCTTCCCCAGGCCTCTTTGAAGAGAGAGAGTATCAGCATCCTGGGTCTAATCCAAAGATAGAAACTACCCAGTAGATTAAACAGGGGGAAGTTTACTATAAAGAATTGTTAAACTATGTAAGAGTAACTATAAGAAATGAAAAACCTCAATTTGGCCTCCTAGGGCTGAGGGAGAATACTCAGGGAAGGACAGACTTGGAAGGGGTTCAGACCTCGTTAGAGAGGAGAGCAGAGAAATTTGGTTTGGCCAGGCTGGGGTGGCACTGTAACTCCTGGCAAGTACAACCTTTTGGAGCGTAGGGGGTGGGGGGCTGGCTGTCAGCAGGTGGTTTGAGCATGCAAAGGAGGGGGGCACCCTCTGGACCACAGGTGGTCCATGTGGGAGACGTGCAGAGGGAATCGAGACATCAGCAGGTACGGGCGATGTTTGGGCACTGATTTCTCTGCCAAAGGGCTCAGAAAGGTTATTGTTGGAGGGTTCTGGCTCAGGCAGAGCTCCACCAGAAGTCCTCACACCCACACTAGACCCGCCCCACCCCCTGTCCCAAGCCAGAAACTGCGGGAGAACCCTTTCCTCTTGCAATGCTTAACAATGTGCTCATTTTCAAGGAGAAAAGCTTAAAAGAGTTCCCGCACCTATCACAGAGCTCATCTGTGATAAGCATTTGGAGCCCAGTGGCAACACGTTGATAGTTAGCTCAGTTAGCCTCTGTGGCTTTAATAACGATTGACAGCAGGAGTGGGGGGCGGGTCCTTTGGTCTTGTATGGGAAGGGAGCTTCTGGTAGCCTGGATTTCTACAAAGTGATGAAACCCAGTGTCTTTAGGCCGAGCTGTAGCTAATCCCCCCCACCGTGTCTCCGGAGTTCCTTGGGCATGTGCCGTTTCTTTATTTTATCTTATTTCTCCCATTACAGGGCAAACCAAGACCCAGACCCGGAGACCTGATTGAGATTTTTCGAATCGGCTATGAGCACTGGGCCATCTATGTGGAAGATGATTGCGTGGTGCATCTGGCTGCCCCGAGTAAGGGTGGATACTCTTTGACATATCGATATTGATACTGAAGTTAGCAGAGTAAGAAGAAGTGCATTTAGTTATTGTGTTCCTCGGCTGCTGCCCTTCATTAGCAATAAAACACTCGACGCATTCCGGGCCCTTAGTGGACTAGGTGATGGAGCTTGATCTCTGTCTACCAAACACCACCGAGTGTCCAGCCCTAAGGGAGATGCAATGCACAAGGGGTCCCCCGTGTTCGCTGAGCCTCGGTATCCTTCCTCATATTTCTGAGGCTTCCCCAGGAGGGATGCAGATGCCTGCATGTTCTGATGGCCCCCAAATGCTGCTTCTGGCTTCCTGTTGGCTTGGGCACGTCCACCCTGGCTCGTCTCCCTGCTCTTTCTACCTGTCCCAGGCTGCTCCCGCCTCAGCGTGGACACGCAGCCTTCCTTTCTCAAGTGTCTCAAGGTTGCCTAACACAAGGCGGAGATTCAACTGGTGACTAATTAAAATTTTTTTTAAGTTTTATTTATTTATTTATTTGACAGAGAGAGACACAGCGAGAGAGGGAACACAAGCAGGGGTAGTGGGAGAGGGAGAAGCAAGCTTCCCGCTGAGCAGGGAGCCCGATGTGGGGCTTGATCCCAGGCCCCTGGGATCATGACCTGAGCCGAAGGCAGACGCTTAATGACTGAGCCACCCAGGCACCCCGGTGACTAATTAAAATTTAGTCTCCACTAAAATTAGTGGAGATTTGATGACAGGACGTGGTGATGGTAGAAGATAGAATGGGAGACACACTCAGTCACAGTGGTCCTCTTGGGCAAAGGGACCCGGAGGTGCTGGGAGAAGGGGAGACTGGGGGACACCATTGCACATGCCCTGATGCCTTTTGAATTTTGTATCCAGTGTGAGTTCTGCCCACTCAGGATGAAACTGCAGAAAGGCGCTGGGACCAAAGGCCTGTGACCACACCGTGTTCACGGCCCTCACCCCCGCCCCCTCCGTCTCATCCTTGGGCCCCGCCTCTCACCTGCAGCAGAGCCCCTCTCCCTGCCCCATTTACACACGGAGAAGGTAAAAGGCACTCCACATCACCTCCACATCCCCTTTCCAGACTAAGTCCAGGAGCCTCCCTCTCATACAACCAAAGCGGTCGCTAACTGATATGTCCCCACCTTCCCCATCAGATCTTCCTCTAAAAACGAATTCTGTTCCTGAAAGCTGAATGGCCCGCTCCCAGCTTTTGTAACATTAGGAGATATTCCTCAAATACGTATGAAGAGGACAAGGGACACTTCTTGTTCTCGGTCAACTTTCGGAGGGGGAGAGCACACACATCTGCCTATCCTTATGGTCGGAGCAGGAAAATGGCCTTGATTTTAAATTACCACCGGGCCGCCCTGGCGTTGGGCGGTTCTTGACTGTCTCTGAGCAGCTGTCTCCTCTAGGGACTGAATATGATAATATAGCACCTTTCAAATGGTTCTTCTTTCAGATCTATGGAACCCTGTTTTCAAATCTCAAATATTTGAGTAGAGAGAAAGGCAGAGTGTCTCTGGGCGGAAGCTGGGTGGGAGGCACCCAGAGCCCAGTCTGCTTGGCCTCCCCTGTGCCCAGCTGAGACTGCAGAGGGAGGCAGGTCACAGAACCCCATGCCAGCCCCACAGCCAGGAGCGGACGCTCACACCTAAGGGTGCTTAGCACACGTTTGTGAAGATTACTGAAGTCTGGTTAGGAAAGCAAGACTCAAATCCTAGTACTTGGTCAGGTCACTACAGTACAGAATGGAGTCTGGGGCTGCGCTGTAAGGCAGTTCTAGAGTTTTATGAGGAAGAGACTGCTGACAGTGGGGAGTGCGGTGCAGGGCAGAAATCTTCCTGGGAAAGTTGGTCCCAAGCAGCCACACTCACTTGGGTGGCTCGGATAGTTAAAGCATCTGCCTTCAGCTTGGGTCATGAATGATCTCAGGGTCCTGGGATCAAGCCCCGCATCGGGTTCCCTGTGCTCAGCAGGCAGTCTGCTCCCTCTCTTGCTGCCCCTCCTCCCTGCTTGTGTTCTCTCTCTCAAATAAAAAAATAAAATCTTAAAAAGAAAAAAAAATAAAGTGAAAAGACAAGTTGCATAATGCACAAAGTATTTGCAAACATATATCTGACCTGGTTCTATTACCCAGAATATGTAAAGAATTCTTACAATTCAATAATACAGAGACAAATAACCCAATTTTTAAAATGGGCAAAGGATTTGAATAGACTTTTCTCCGTGGCCAATAAGCACATGAAAAGATGCTCAACATCATCTGTCATTTAAAAAAAAAAAAAAAGGAAAGAAAAAAGGTTGATAGGCAGGCTGATATTCAGGCGACAGGTGTCTCACTGGGGGGCAGCTCATTTCATCCAACTCCTGGTCCTTGGCCTTGGATTTGACAGATGCCAAAGCTGAGGCCTCGGAGGGAAGCACCTTGACCCACAGCTTAGAATGAGCCAGTGCTCCGTCCCTTGCTGTCCCTCGCAGCTTTCCAGCTTCTGTTCATCTTGGTCTCTAGGTGAGGAATTTGAGGTGGGCAGCATCACTTCCGTCTTCAGCAACCGCGCCGTCGTGAAGTATAGCCGCCTGGAGGACGTGCTGCATGGCTGCTCCTGGAAGATCAACAACAAGCTGGATGGGACGTACCTGCCCCTGCCCGTGGACCAGATCATCCGGCGGACAAAAAAGATGATCAACAAGATAGTGCAGTACAGCCTGATCGAAAGGAACTGTGAGCACTTTGTCAATGACCTCAGATACGGTGTGCCCCGGAGCCAGCAGGTATGACGTCTTTTGCTCGGACGGTGGCTTCTTGCTGGGGCTTGTCGTCTCATCAGTGATCAGAACGGTGGTCAGTGGTTTCGTGCTCTTTGTTGTACTGGTGGGCTCTACTTCTACAGGACTTTACGGTTCAGGAGGTGGTTTCCCCTCTGTTAACCCGGGGAGGAGCGCAAAGGCTCTGGGCTGTAGAGCTAGGACACTGGGGGGTCTCCTTGGCCAGACCGTTTTATTTCTGAGACTGTTTGTTCTTCTACAAAACAGGGATGAAGTGAGGTTTTCAGCTACATCTGGCCCACAGACATGTTTTGCTTGGATGAGTAGTGGTTTGTTTTTTCTTTTTTTAATTTGTACTATTTGCCAACATTTAAAAACAGAAGTTTTATATAAAAAGATCTGAAATCACAACCTTTCTAGAACAACTAATTGATCAGGCCTTCAGGCCCGCGTTCCTGCTTGCTGACACCTTGTAGGGCCGAGTAGTGACTGCCTCTTTAGATGGGACTTGTGGGGGTCGACGTGCCACCTACCAGCTTTGCCCACCTTACCGGCCTGGCCCGGGCATGTCGCCTTTGGGTTTGTGACCACCCCCACCCCCGCCGCCACACAGGGCAGGGATAAAGCCAGTGAGGCACAGTCCGTGTGTTCAAGAGCTTTGACAAATAGCTCGAAATATCTGGACAAATTGAGCAGCCCTCATTCCTATTTGCTCCTTACTAAAACCCCATGAGAGGAGCAGAGGATGTATTTATTATCCCCTTTTTAATAGACTGAGAAATGAGGAATTAAAGGAGGAACATCCTTTTTCTGCCTTTTTTTCTGTGGTTCCTATGTTCCCTCAGGGCACTGGGCTCAAACCCCGACGCTGGTCTCTCTACTGTTGCGGAGCGAGCGTGAGCAGGTCACCCACACCCTGTCCCCCTCCACTTTCTGCACCTTCCTCCTTTGTGTTCTGCCCTCCCCCAGCCTGCACTCCATTCTCTGGAGGCCTCTCTCCAGTGCGGGGGGGGCGGGGGGGGAGCTTGGGGGCTCCAGTGTAAGGGATCTCCTATCCCAAGAGCATTTGTGCATGACAAGAAGACCCCAGGGACCAAATGGATGATAAGGGGCCTTCTATGGAGCGTGAGCCACGCTCAGACACTAATTCCCACCGTGACTTTGTCCAAGTGAGTTCCCGTCCCTGGTTCTCAGGTTCCCTGATTGCAGGATGAGGGCCTCGGTGGCTGAGCCACTCCGAGACCCCTTGCCTCTGAGCCCTACCCTAGAGGCAGACCCTGGGCTGCATGGCTCTGAGGGAAGAAGGCCAGGAACCGTGGATGCCCCCGGGGGGGACAGGGAGTGCGTCTGCCTCTGACTGTCATCTCGAGCCATCCTGAGTTCTCTAGGTCTCTTGCAACCCTAGGATCTTTGGAAATAGAGGCTAGCGCAGGTGGCTTCCTCCTCCAGGCAGGCCGGGTGCTGAAAGGGAGTGGGGCAGTAGGGGCAGGGCAGGGCACAAGCCTGGGATGGCCCCTGAGTGTCCTGTGAACTGGTCTGCTTTGCAGGTAGAGCACGCCCTGAGGGAAGGGGCAAAGGCTGCGGGAGCGGTCCTCTCAGCCATGGTGGAGAGCATAAGGCCCAAGCCCGTAACTGCCTGAAGGCGCTCGGGACTCCAAGCAGAGGAAGTACTCCTGCCATCCGCAAGGACACGTGCCTCGTTGCCCCCCTTGCCTTCTCTCTCCATAACCCCGCTCGAGAAAACTGTGTTCTTCTGGAAGAATCTAGAATGTATCCAATCACCCCTCCAGAAATACATCCAATATATGTGATCCTAGATCCGTGGACTCGCGGGGTGAGACGAACCTAATATTTATTATTATGCATCCATTAGGCGCCGGGCAACGTGCTGGGCGTTTCATAGGCTTGTCTCATCTCCCTCCCTGCGGGAAGGGCCTTGCTTGTTTCTCAGGCTGACTCGGGTCTGCGATGTTTGGATACCACCTACACCAGCCAGGAAACCCCTGCTTGAACATTCCCAGGAACCGGGAGCTCTTTTTCAGAAGTCCTTGTTCTTGAACTAGAAAGTCTCCAGCTTTTTGCATTCACGAGAATCCTGCTCTTCCTGACCTGCAGCGCTGTGTGGGGTTGAGCGGGGTAGGGGGGGGGCGTGGAGTGGAAGGAAGCTCAGTGGCTTGCTATTCGGGGCCATCTGTGCTTAATCCAAAATCATACACCAGCCTTATTCTTTGTTGTTTAACACCCCCTTGCTTTAAAGTATAATCAACATTTACTTTGCTTTTCTACTTTAGAATTACCAGGAAATCTGAAACTGTTATTTTCACTGATTGCAGATGAATATTTAAAATAATTTCCTCGGTGGACTTCTGTGTGCATGAGGGAGAGGAAGGAGCGATTTTTTGTGTGTTGACCGCTGTTGGCATGACAGCAGATCCAGAATTATGACCAGGGACTGCTGGTGCCCACTGAGAGCTGAAGCCATCTGGGAAGGCTAGAGAGGGACTCTCAGAATGGCTAGGAACTGTGATCGATGTGGACGAGAGCAAGATGGAGCCCCCAGAATATTTCACATGAGATCTGTTAGGATCGCCCAGGAGCCTTTCTCCTGTTTGAACAAAGTAGACCCTCAGTGAAACTCTTCCATTCCCTAACCCCCTCCCTTCCGTTCTTTTCTTAGCAATCCAAACTTGACTACATTCTCCTGTTCCCTAGACGCTGGCGTCTGGGTGTATGTCTCTGTCTTCCATCTGCCCTTCCCAATGGCCTCTCTCTCTCTGCTTTGCTTGGCAGATCTGGGTGTTGGTAGGTAGAGCGTATGCCCTCATTTCTGCGAATCATGATGAGGGTAAAGCCGTTATTACCCTGAGTCCCTCCAATCACCTCCCCCCACCCCCCAGAATCTGCTGAGTTCCCGATACCGCTCCCTTCTGCTCCTTCTTCATTATTGTCTAGGTTGAGACTTCCTTTGAAGTAGAACCCAACCACCAGGAATGTATCTTTTATAAAGTATATTCCTTTTAGTTTTGAATTAAGTCGCTCAGGGATTAGTGAACCTTTTGATTCTGAAGAATGACTGACCTCCCAGACCATAGTAATCATTAATCCAGTAAACCGGATGTTGTTTGATTTACAGACAACTCCCCCACGCCAGAGAGTGTTTAGTAACTTCTAAACTAAAGGCTCATCCATCTCTTGCTTAGGTTTGGGACAGAAAGACACTTCTGTGGCTTCTTTGGGTTTGCACCCAGTGGGGCCGAGGGCCTCAGGCACGTAATCAGGGTTTATGTTCATTCATTCATCCAACAAACATTTTTGAGCATCTACCACGTGCCACACCTTAGCTCTCCCCACCTTGGCCTGAACCCACGAGCAGTGCTCAGGGACAGCAGTGAGAAGTTGAGTTGGTTAGAAGGACGCAAGTCACAGTGGAGCATGGGGTGGAGACCACCTGCTGGACAGCTGTCTTCTCTTACCTCCCAGCTGCCCATAAAGCCGCGAGCTCTGGAACGCACACCCTACACTTTGCAGGGGTGGGGTGGTGTGGGGGGAGGAGGGTTTCTTAAAGCACTGTTTACAAACCTGGAGCAGTTTCTGCCTTCTAGGGTCAAAACTGAAATCTCTGCTTTGGGTGGAACCATTCGGGTGAACCTTTTCAGTCTTGTAACTATAAGGCACATACCTGCTGTTCCAGGAAACCCTAAGGGAAAGTCATGTGAATGCAAATGTTTCTGAGATGTTACACACGGATTTCTTGTTTGTGTGCTTTTTTTTTTTTTTTTTAGTGTTTTTATTCCTTTTCCCTTTGGGGGGTTGGGCGAGTGGGGTCAGTGGTGGTGTTGGTTCACTGGGCATGTCACAGGGAAAGTCAGAGAACTTGACCGTGCCGGGTTCCTTCAGGGTAGGGGCCCAGTAGTCCTGACACAGAGCCAGCAGGGGCTGTGCACAATCCGGGTGTTTTGCTTACTGATTGAAAGGCCAACTTCAGGAAACACTGGATTAGCTCTGCAGAGAGTATTGTGATGGTAAAGGGATCTGGTTTTGCTGGCTGGGAGTGGGAGATAAGGAGTGGAAAACATGTCAGTCAGGGATGCCAACTGAGTGAAACAATGAAGCCCTCCTCTATGGCAGCAGGCGAGAGGCTGAGGGGAGACCGGCAGAGAGGGGAGTCCCCTGAGACACCAGGAGTAGAGATAAACTGCTCCCCAGTGTCTGCCTAATGCTCACAATCACCTTTTGTTATTCTCGAGCCTTGTCTTGAGACGGGGGATGAAGGAGCCAGAGCACAAGACTGTAGTACCCAAGAGAGAGACTGCTGCAGAGACAAGAGGCTCAGGGACCGCTGGAGGGGGTCCGTCAGAAGCGAGCAGCCTGGGGCGGGGGGGTCCAGGTCCATGTCTCTGGAAAACCTTGGGAGGGAACTGGGTCTCCTGCAGCCATGCAGGAGGGGAGCTTGGTCAAAAAAATGAGATTTTATTTTATTATTTTTTTATGGAAATTGTGTATTTTTAATTAAAAAAATTTTTTAGTTCAAGTATAATTAACATACAGTATTATAGTGGTTTCAGGTGTACAATATAATGATTTAGCAATTCTCTGCATGACTCTGTGCTCATTATGGTAAATGTGCTCTTAACCCCCACCACCTATGTCACCCATCCCACACCCTCCTCCCCTCTGGCAACCCCCAGTTTGTTCTCTGTATTTAAGAGTCTGGCTTTTGTTTGTCTTTTTTTTTTTTCTTTGTTTGTTTCTTAAATTCCACATATGAGTGAGATCCTGTGGTATTTATCTTTCTCTGTCTGACTTATTTCACTTAGCCTGATACTCTCTAGATCCATCCATGTTGTTGCAAATGGCAGGATTTCATCCTTTTTTATGGATAATTAGTATTCCTTTATATATATATATATAATTATATATATATAATTATATATATCTGTTCATCTATGGGTGGACACTTGGGCTGCTTCCATAATTTGGCTATTGCAAATAATGCTGCAATAAAC